GTGCTTTACAGAGTTTTTCTATGATTTTTCTCTTCTCCATTCTAAACACCCTACAGTGTGTGTGTATATGAAGTTTTGGCTCTATTGTTTAGCCTTTGTGCAGACTCAGATTGACAGAATTTTACAGACAACAAAGATCTCTGCAGCCATCCAGCTCAATGCCCTCGTTTCTGGATAAAGAGAATGAGGCCGAGCCCCAGACACACAGCTGGTCAGTCTTTGACCCAGAATTAGGACCCAGGGCAGTTTTCATTCTCTGGTTTTGTAGTTGCTTGATTATTTTGTGTGTGTGTTCGGTTTTCCCAGCTAGAGCATTCATTATCAAGGACCAAGCTTTTCCCTCTCTTCCACCCGTTCTGTGTTTCCCTCCTTGGTGTGGGCAAAGGAGAATGTGTGGGAGCTAGCCTCTTGGCAGCAGATGCCAGTGGTATATGACTGTCCTTTGCTCTAGTGATATTTCTAAAGTGTCTTCAACTTTTGTTTTAACTAGATATCTAAAACATACTTCTTAATGTTCATCTATTAGTAGGACTGTTTAGTGTTATGTGTAGTAATTCAGGTTTAGTATTCTGAGTGTTGTCCTAACATAGAGACAGAACTAAATCCCTCTATATTAATTAGTGATTTGATAAAATTGTATTTTCTGATAACTTGGAATACTGTGACAAGGGGATGAGAAGCAAGGCCTATAGTTTAGTATTTGATGGGCTTTTCTAAGTTTTCTCTAAATTTTACAGTATAGAAGGGCTTCCCCGGTGGCTTGGATGGTAAGAATCTGCCTGCAATTCAGGAGACCCGTGTTCAATCCCTGGGTTGGGAAGCTTCCCTGGAGAAGGATTCCCTCTGGCAACCCACTCCAGTATCCTTGCCTGGAGAATTCCAAGGACTGAAGAGCCTGGCAGGCTAAGTTCGTGGAGTCACGAAGAGTTGGACACAACTGAGCAACACTTTCTAAGTTTTCTCTAAATTGAATAGTACCAAAGAGCTTACCTAAAACAGTCCCCTTCAAATCTGGCTATATATGATGGTGACGCCCTTCTTTCTCCATATCACCCAAATTGGGACCCCAGAGTTGGGACTTGTGCATCTTTATGTTAAACATGGTCTATAGTAGAGAGCCAGTGGCTTGGAAGAACAGCATGATTGACATGACGAAGATCCCCTTTTAAGAGAAAGTTACTAAGTTGGGAAAGAGTGCTTGTATGTATATAGTTGGGGAGGAAAGGATGTATATACAGAAATCTGTAGAAAGATAGATTGATTTTATGCATCATTGAAATTATTTGATTGCCTTTGACATCATATCAAACATTTTTTGTCAAATCTTTGTGGGCCTGTCATATCTTTCAGGCCCAAATAGCAGTTGAATTGCACCCACAAACCTTCATAAAGTTACAAAGGAATCAATTAAACTAGGAGCATGGCTTCTGCTGCTGTAATTCAGAAGTGATAGGCAATGTAAACAGATAACAGAAATCCATTATTAGAAACTGCTGTTTTCTCCTCTTAATGAGTAGTGGCTGATGCCAACCTATTGAAATTTCTAATAAGATTGGCTGGACATCATGGTGCCCATATTGCAGTAACCAGTTAAATCTCATTCTCTCTCAGTGCATTTATTCAATATTAGATATAACTGCACACCATTTATGAGGCTGCCATATTTGTATTCCATTAATATTAAAGATGTGTTAATAAAATAAAAATAGGTATGTTAAAAAACATGATAGTCAAGTAGTCACAGAAGTTTATAAGAGTGAAGAATTGGTGAGTCAGTTTAAATTTGGAGTTTTTTCTGAGCCTTGCTTTGGTTCTGAGTGTTAATGATCATAGCAAAAGCCTGAGACCAACTCTTAAGGACATTTAGTTTTCAAAGGAGGCAATGCTGGGTAGATTGATGATTGTGACTTAATAGTAGTTACATAGTTATCATTTCTTGAATATAATGAGACAGAGAATGATAATTTTCCTTTTTTTTTCAACTTGAAAAGCTCTCAAGGGATCATCTAATTCTAGAATTTCACAGATAAGGAAACTTAAAAAAAAAAAAAAGATAACTGTCTCAATAAATATTCAGAGCAGGAGGAGCATTGTTTTCTTCTTAGCAGTGGGTCACTACTAAAACTGTGTGTATGAGCCACATGACATTTTCATTTAGTCAATGGAGAGTTGAGAGGGTCTGTGTTTAGCACTTGAATATTGGACTTGATTCAAATGTGAGTCAAGTGTGTCTAGAGGCTTTATTCATACCTATTTTCTTTTAGTCAGCATTGCTTCATAATGCCCTGGTTTCATGAATTAATTTTAATGGAATTAAACTTGAACAGCTCAAAATTATATAATTAATTTCATTCAGCTTCAATTAGAGTTACTAATTGAATCAAGCCTACTAGCATGACACCTGGCGGCAGTCAGCTACATAACAGTAGCAGCAGGAATGTAGGACTCTGCTGAGGAGAGAGTTCCTGTGTAGAGCTTCTAGAAAAATCTTTTCTATTGATCATCTCAGAAAGGCCTTGGGTTGACTGTAGCAGTGGAAAAACTTCAGAAGTTGTTTAAAAAAGTCAATATTTTAATTGAAACTAACACATCTCAGGAAGGTTACATTTTCCCTAGAATAATGCTGAGTAAATGCTACATAAATCTAGAACATGTCGGTTTAGTATGGTTCTAATTTATATTTTACTGCTATCTGAATACAGTTTTGCTTTCTAAAAATACTTAGCATTGAAGACCCTATTTTTTTAATTCAGAAATCTTAGCCTCTGGACTTAATTCCTGAGTGTCCGTCTATTTTCATGTGTTGAAATGTGTTTTATGGTAGAACTTTTCAATTGTGAAATCCCCATGGTACAGGAGAAATTTCTGCATGTGCAGAACTTTTTTTTTCCCTTCCACTGGAAATGTTAATACAGTTGACTAACAACTTCTGTTTGAATCTCTTTCCTTTCCTTGCTTTCATGGCTTGACATCATCTAGTTTTTCTTCCTTCTCTGATTCCTTTCTAATTGTATAGAACCCTCCTGATACTCTTCTTTTCACAGACTTACAGTTTTAATGACCCTATTCATTTGAATTCATCTGAATGACTTCAAGTTTAGGAAGATGACTGTTTCAGCTATAACTTTGTGACTTGCAAATTCAGATGCTCAAAACTAAACTCATCCACTAGACTGTTGGTTGGGCTACAGTCCATGAAGGTTGGGATGTGTTTTGTAATTGATTGTATATTCAACTGCATAATACAGTGCTCAAATATCTACCATATACAAATATATATTTTTATTTTTTAAAAAATATATTAAAAGTTTAGTTGTTTTATAATGTTGTGTTAATTTCTGCTGTGCCGATGTACTCAGTCATGGCCGACTCTTTGTGACCCCATGGACTGTAGCCCACCATGTTCCTCTGTCCATGGAATTTTCCAGGCAAGAATACTGGAGTGGGTTGCTGTTTCCTTTTTCAAATTTCTGCTGTACAGCAGAATGCTTCAGTTATACATACATAGATACATATACAAATATGTATTTTATAAATTATTTTCCTGATCTCTAGGTTTTCCCAGTCAAATCCATTCTAAGACAACTCAGTCATCTCCAGCTCTCATCTTCTTTGATAGTCTGTGAATCCTCTAGTTATTTTCTCACAGTTACCTCCCTTCCCATCTTCTTACCCAATTGACAAAACTCTCATCAGTCTCCCTTTTAGTTTCCCTTACTCTGTTCTCCCTGTTAGATGCATCCATCCTCCAGTGATTCTTAAGGATTTAAGGACTATTGAATCACGTGGGTCCCCCACTCCCAAATTAAAGTAGAATGTTAGATTATGAGGCCCAGGAAACTATTTTTTCAGAAGTCCCCTGAGTGAGTTAAAGTACTGTCGGGACTGAGAACCTCTGGTGTGTATATAGTTTGTTCATTTCCCCCATGTATCGCTTTGATTAGACAGTTCACAAAGCTACCATGGCTACTCTCACTTATTTCTCTTACTTTAAAATCAGGTCCAGATTTTTCACCTTGGCATGCAAATATCCATAGCATGTCCCTGTTCAAACTTTCACAATCTTATTTCCTAATATCCCTCTTTAAGTAGTTCACAGTGCAGAAAATATGAACTTTTGCCCAAGTGTCTGCTTTTGGAGTTTGCCCTGCAATTCTTTCACTTGGAATGGCTTTTCTCTCATCTCTACTTTGAGAATTCCTGCTGATCTTAAAGATTATCCAACATGCACCATTTTCTATCATGCTTTTCTTGAGCTCTGAATTCTGATGAGTATCTTCTTACTTTGAATCTCTTTAGTGCTCTAGACCTCTCATAACGTTCATTTAACCTTGTGTTATAGTCAGCTTTTTGTTTAAGTTATGTTCCCAATAAGACATTACTTTTCCTTACTCATTGGCTTCCTCCCTGGAGAACCCATAAACTCACATATAAATCTCTCATCATTGATGCGTTCCCTGCCACCCTTGCCCTACATGTATGGACTCACTTCATCCTTGATAGAAATGTTACATGGCAGATCATTTGTTATGTTTTGATGACCTGTTTACAGTAATCTTAACAGACAGTTTTTACAGTAGAATGTTTCTTCAATGCTAGTTATAAAGTGCGTGTGTGTGTGCTAAGATGCTTCAACCTATGGGCTGTAGACTATCAGGCTCCTCTGTGCAAGGGATTCTCCAAGCAGGAATACTGGAGTGGATTGCCATGCCCTCCTCCAGGGGATCTTCCCGACCCAAGGACCAAACCTGTGTCTCTTAAGTCTCCTGCATTGGCAGGCATGTTCTCTACCACTAGTGCTGCTTCTGAAGCGCAGTCACAGAGTAGATGCTAGTAAATCTCTATTGAGTTAATAATGTATGCAATGGTTAGTAGAGATATTGCTCCTATTTCTTTAAATTATGGCAGATTTAGAAGCATTTGGGGAAAAAAATCTGTAGAAATGAAAACAGAGAAAAATATGTAACATTTAAAGATAATACATTTTTTTTTTAATTTAGAAAAATGCGATAAAGAAAATACTGAGAGAGAGATAACTCAAGCTACTGATAGCTGCTTCACACATGGAGAGATGCAAGACCAGTCCATTTGGGGAAATTGTTCGGATGATGAACTCATCAGAAGTAAGTATTTTTGGAGAAAATTGGAGTGATTCAGGGACATGACTGTAATAATATGCTCTCAGTTAATCATCTCATATAATTCTACTAGAAATCTGTAAATCAACAACTTACCTGAAAGTGTTTTTCATGAGTCTTTTAAAATATAGAAGTAAAAGCAGAGTATAAATAATATTGTCTGCCAGCTTTCATCCTGTCTTTAAAAAGGAAGTATTAAGCTGAAAATTTTGGACTACATTCTCAGAGAGATTTAAACAAAACTTAATCCCTTCTTGAGTAACAAGTAAGTAGAAGTTGGACAATTCTACGTATAAACAGACAGTGAAACTGAAAAGATAAAGACGAGTCAGAGGACAGTGAGGACTATTTTGGCAACGCCATGTGGTCCCTGTTCTGGCCAAGTGACTCCAAACTGTTTTTCCCAGTTAACACTTTTATCACTACTTAGCTTCTTTTTATTCTCTTCCTCTTCTTAAAGTTGCTCTGTAGAATATGTAAGAAGCTTTGGTTTAGTTTGTTTTACTCTGGGAATGTCCAGAAACACCAGTATCTGTTAAGTGCTATTCAAAATCCATGTTCATGGCAGTTGCGCTTGTTCTGGCCACTAAATTCCCCCTGGTGGGTTCAAGATGGATTGGCCATGTAGTGAAAGATTCTCTGTAGTAAACGTATCTATAGAAAGAACACCACTGTGCTGTGCCATGCCTGGATGGCCTTAGGAGTACTACCTCTGAAATTATCATTTATGGTAACCAAATTATCCACGTCACTTTTCAGTTTTTCAGAAAAGACAGAGAAGTTTTATTCTGGGAATTAAATGGTACTTTACTTTTTTTTGTTTTTATTTGTTTTTATTTATTTTTTGTTTTAATTCTTCAGACAACTCTATAATACTGAAACTTTTTTTGTGTTACTTATTACATTTACTTTGAATAATTGAAACCAAACAGAAAAAAACAGGTAGAAGGAAAAAGCCAACTTTGTAGAAGAAAAAAATAAAAATAAAAACACTGTAGAAGGAGACTTCAAGTTTTCAAGCAAAAGCTCTAAAAGTGACCGTGTTTTAGTTTAATTTTAGAACTATTTTGGTTTTTTACACTTTTCTACTGGGGAAGGGAATAGAAAGGAAATGAAACTCAGAAATTAGTGAGGAACAAGATTTATTCAGCTTTCTCCAAAGAATCAAAATTATTTCAAGTAAATATTTATCTCCAAAACATATATTGGTTGTCTTCTTTCTAAATGTTGACGCTGCTATTGTGAAACTTAAGGGTGTGTAAGATACTGGCATATTTTATCTGTGATTTTTCAGCGACCAGAGAGCATGAGACAGGGTCTTACAGACAATTTTAACTTTACCTTTTGGGAGGCATGATTGTTTGCTTATTTTTTTCCCCCATATTCATAGAATTTTAAGTATGTGTATTTCATTAATTGATTTATGTCACCAGTTTCCCTTCCCAAGGTCCACACTTGGAAAACATGAATAAGAACTCTTAGGACAAAAACTAAAATATAAGCACCATTGCATAAGGATATGGAGAGTCATGTTGTTGTGTTAAAAAATTTTAGTGCTATTTGATGAAACTCATTTTAGCCACAGAACTCATACTATTAAAGTGAATGGATTTAAAACATACTCCTCTCTCTATTGTCTGTATTGATTATGGACAGTGATAAAAAATATTGTAAAGTGCATGAAATAGTTTTTTTATTGAGATAATGATGCAGCCTGTATCATGGGGTACTGGAGTAATAAGGAACAACTATCTAGGTACATACTAATATATACTGAAAGAATCCAGAGAGAGAGATTTATTACCTCCTTTGAGAGAATGGCTGGGAAAATTGACAGATGAATGGATATCAGAAGATAATGGCCAAAGACAGTAATGCTGCTCTTGCTCAAAACATAAATTGCCAAGAATTTCCACATATTTGTGGGTGACTTTGGATTATGAATTCTGATGGCAGATTTCAGAAACTACATTTTTGTTATTTTCCCAGTCACACTTCTCTAGACAAAGGCTACTCTGTTGGGTCTACAGAAACATTTGATATGTGGATTTTCCAAAATGGAACACTTTATGTCATCTTTAAAACCAACTCAAGTCTGGATAGCATCTGCAAGTTTGATAATCTGATAGCTTTTGCTGTTCCAACTCCCAGACACTGAAGTCTGCTAAGCTAGCCTGACTTTCCATCTTCAGCTTTCCCCATTGAGTCCTTGGCCGTCTCTGCGTCATTTAGCGTCTGTCTCTCTTAACCATGCAGTTAGAGAGATGTGTGTTTTCCTCTTACTTCAGCATCTAGACCTTTTTGGGGGGCCTAGTGCATCTTTTGTAATAACAATAGCCCTGGAAAGAAGGCTGTGGCTCAGAGCTGCGTGGGGAGGAGGGGAACATCTGCGTGAGTCAGGCCGGGGCGGGCTCCTGTGCCAGGAGTCCTGCATGGCTCCCTGAGCACCGTGGAAGAGGCGGACAGCTGGCTCTCATGGAATTGATTTTAGTTTCCCACTGTAGTGCGAGGTTGGCTGGATGGAGGGATCATCAGAAAAATAAGGCCGGCTGGGGTGTGGGAACATTTTCAAATGTGCAACCCACTCTTTTTCCAAGCTTCCATGGGACAGTTCAGCTGCATAAGCAAGAAGCAAAGGGGAGTGACTCTGCTGTTGAATGCAACTTCTTTCTATCTATTCTTGAGAGTGGTGAGTGAGGGCTGGCAGCTAACATCTCTGTTGTCCCAGATGCCTGCTGCCTTTTTTGTTGGACACTTAAGGCATAATTTATAGGGGACTGTTAGCTGTCAGTGTGACGAGGCTGTTTTTACTTTTCTGAGAATAACTGGGCTCTGGAAAGTCAAGGGAGTGGCTGCTTTGGAAATTGTATTCTAATTAAAGGGTGTATTCTCAGGCCTCATAAACGAGATCCAAGCTGAGAATAATTTCCAAATTATTCTGTGAACTTTAACCCTGACCTCAGTGGACCACCCACTTGTGGCTCCCACTTGGTGCAAGTTCTAAACAGAAGTTCCAGCTTTGTGAGCCTTCCCTGGTCCTTCTAGAAAACATTGCAGGTGGCAGACCTGAGGGACTGTGCTCTCAAGGTCTGGATTTCAAATCAGTTGTCCTTGAGTTGCTAACTTATTAGAATCCTTTCTTGAAGTTATAAAGAGAAGAAATCCATATGGAATCAAACATTTTGAATAAATAGGCCACACACAATCTGGTCAGGGGATGTGCATAGTAGCTCTGTTTCTTATGAAATTTAAATTAAAAAGATATTTCCAACCACTGAAATTTGTTTAAAAAAAGTCTAAATCAAATAAGTAAAGAATTAAAAACATAAGAAGGTTTGTGAGGAAGTTTGGGAGGGTTTTGTTTTTTAATAATTTTTTTTATTCGTTTTACAATTTAAAAGGCATTTGTATTCTGAGAAAAATATTCTTGTATTTAATTTCTGGAATGGGGCTTCCATTTTAGAGTTTGTAAGAGTCTCTTTCTGTGGCTAACACTGGCTTTTCCCCTCAGATTGACATATGTGGGACAGTATATAATTTGGAGCTATGCCATGTTTTAATAATCACTAGTCCTCTGATTTGGTGGAATAAATGTTGCAGTGAAGTGACATCCTCAATTAATACTAATTTTTCTATTTAACCCATAATATGCATAAACTGATAACAGGCAATAGGCAACATTTCATGTTTTAATTAGACTAGAAAAGGAATAGAAGTAACATTTTGATCTCAGTCTTTGGGGGTATTTCTGAGGTAGGAAGGAGTGTATCTGAGAGTGTATGTGCATGTGCTGTGTTAGTGTGCCTATACTCATAGGCATGAGTAAATTTTCCTCTAATTTAGGTCAAATTCTACTATTCTAATTATTTCCTATGGAGAGCTTACATTTTTCTTCTTCTTTCTAAAGTGCCTCAGGTGTCTCAGATTTTTCTAGGTCTTTCTGAAAATTCTTATTACTTAACTTTATCCTTGGACATCACTTTTTAACATAAACGTCTTCTAATTCTAAATGTCATTACTTCACTCCAGAAATTTTCCTTAGCTTCCCTTCCGAAATAAATTTCCCATTAAATGAAACTATTTTGCTCAGCTAATTCTCTCCTTTGTGATTTTGTAGAATTCCCATGATCTGAAGCAAAGTTAGAATGCTCTACTTAAAGGGTAATCCCCATTCTATTTAACCCATTTCTTCATTTTGAAGAGGTTTTAGTTCTCCTAATAGTAAGCACTTAATTGGTCATAAAACACAAGCCTCTCTCTCTGATTCACAGTCGCCTCCTCTTTACTGAGCTGGTATGTCATGCTTTTTCACTCTTGCTTCTACTTGAAATCCTCCCCTTGGCATCCGCTGAGTTTCCTCACAACATCCAGAGGCTCTGCTGTTAGGGACTGTCATTTCTTTTACCAACCTTCGCTAACTTATTGCTGATCACCCATTAATGAATACCATTTCATTACATTAGAGAACGCTTCCTCTATGTAAAGTACTGAAAAGCGGAGACTACTCAGGTGTACTATTTATATACTTGGAGCATTTTTAACTTTAAATATAAGGAAAGAAAACTGAGAGGTTTGGATTTAAATCTTTTCAGTGGCACTCATGTTTGAACGCACATCACAGTATTATTTGGTTTTCTTTAGAATTCATTTTATACAAAAGAGGCATAAACAAGCTCTCCTCCCACCTCCCATAAGTACCACCCAATAGGACTGGGAAATATGACTTTCCTGTTATGTTTCATAGTTAATTGGAGATTCTTTGCTTAATACTTCATGCTTCTTCGTGTGGGAGTCTATGTTGGGAGCAAGTCATGGTGACTTCCATCGTGCTTAGTGTTTAGTCCTCTATTTGTCTCTCAGAAAAATTATCCTATTCAATATGCTGACCAAATGGTTATGTAGCTACAGTTCAGATGCTTTTAATTGTTCTATAGAGAGGAATCTTTAACCATCAATTATTCCAAAACCAAATCATAGTTTGGTTT